AATCCTGTACTGCCCCTATTGCCCAACTTCCAGAACATGCACTCAGAAAACTGGATCTTCCCAGTAGGACGCCTGGTGCAAGCTAGTGACTTCCTAAAAATCACTGCAACCCCCCCTCCCCGCCCACATGACCTGGGTTGCTGTGCATAAGAGAAACCTGGTGGGCAAGCAGCGGCAAGGACAGGCCCATCTGCTTCCTCCAACCAGGTCTCTGTCACACAGGCCAGGTCAAATCCTCCATCCACAATCAGGTCGTGGATGGCAGTGGTTTTATTCATTATTGACCTGACATTACACAGCAACACCTTCAGGTCATGTGGGTTTCCCTTGTTGATTCCAGTATCCATCCGGTCAAGGCCAGACCCGGAGGCAGGGATAGTCTTCAAACAACGACTAAACCTGCCTCCTCGGTAATGACATGGTCTGGTCTTAGCGTAACTCCGCCTCCTGCCCATGATCACCGAGATCGGATGTCCCAGTGCTCCCCCCCCTGTGGAACTTGTCCCTGCCATCGTGTTGGCTGGGGAGCCACTCCCAGGCAGCCCTGATCCCGCCCCTTAAAACAAAACACAAACTATACAGAACCAATAAAACAACAACAACAACAAAAGGAACAAAACAATTATACTAAAATTAATCCCCAACCAAATATCCATCCCACTCACCCACCCCCAACAAAGGAAAAAAGAAATAAAGAAATAAAAATTTAAATTGCCACCGACTGCTTGAGGACATTTTAAAGCACATTAACCACCTGGAACAGGAAAGCAATGGCAGAACACTTCCCATACTTCCCCAAAAGTTTGTTCCAAATAAGGGCCTGGGCTGCACCCCCTGGGCCAGTTGGAAAAGGCCTTGGAAGGGAGCAGGCCCTGCAGTCCTCACCCAGCCGATGGTCCGAGGCCTCACTGCAGCAGGAGTCCCTTTATAGCTGGGAGAGAGGGCCTGGGCCACGCTCCCTGGGCCAGTTGGAGAAGGCCCTGGAAGCTTATGCTCATGTGATGGGCTGAAACCCAAGTCTCTGACAGACACCACAGCCCTCAGAACAGCACAAGCCAATAACTCAGGGAAGTCCAAGATCCGAATCTCTAAAGGCCCCCTTCTGCTTCACTCCAGGAGACCCAGCGCTGCCTTTGTGTTCCTTTGCCACTGCTTCTGTGAGCCTGGTTCATACAGTTCCTATATCCTGATGTGGCCCTGACAGAAATATGGAGAGGGATGCCCAGAGCTATACCATCTTGTTCTGCTATTCTGTCAAGATATCACATGCTGAGAAGGAGCGGAGCTCTCAAAAGGGGTATTCTTTATTCATTAGCAGACATTTCCCTCCTCTGAGTCACAACTGATTCAGGGTCACAATGCGCTGATAACTGCTGTGCTTCAAACTCACTCCTTCAAATGCAAAAGAATAAAATATTTTTTATGAAGATGCCCCCCCCCCCCCGGATCCCCTGTAGCTCTTAAAGATACCCTGGCAATTTTTGCAAGAATAAAAAAAGAGTTTAAATGAATGAAATGAATGATAATGCTACTAACAAAAAATAAAAAGCCCTTCTGTGGGGTGTGTGTTCTTCTTCTTTTTAAAAAAGAAAACACCTGTGTGAATAATTCGGCAGAAGCTAGAGTCCTAAGCACACTCAAGACATTCCAGTTTCAATATGCAGCGTCTGTCTCCATCCTCCCAAGATAACCTTGCAAGGAATCACACAACTAAACCAATTTGGAAACAAACAAACAAACAACGTAACTAGGGATTTCAAAGTCTGCAATGCAATGTACGTTTAATTTGGAGTAAGTTCTGCTGGGACTCCAAAGGGATTCATTTTTGAGAAAATGTGCTGTGTGGCTGCTAGACGTCCATAGGGAAGTGAAGACAAAACTACAAATTGCATGTAGCCCCACAGTTCTTTGGGGAAGTTCGCTCTGCTTTTAAGTGGAACACTGCTGGGAAGGTAGACGGGCTTCTAAAGCCCGTTTTCGTTCAGACTATATAGCTCTTGAAATTCTCTCCCCCTTCCCCGAAACATTTACCCCCTCCTGGGGAAACGATGGGAGTATTTCTGGCCACTTCCAAACTACCTGCTCATTGTGAGTTCATCCTGTTTTTTTTGCTGGGTGGCTGGACAATGCCAGCTATTTACTGGGCATTAATTCTGATTTGTTTGTTTGGAGGCTAGGTGACCTTGTGTCAAGCAAATGTTGCCCCACACTTTCTAGTGCATATCCTGTCAGTTTCCTTATTGCAAAAAAAAAAAAAAACCACCTCTGGTTTGGGGTGGGGAGAACTGGGCTCACTGCACAAGAGCTCCAAATCAACTTGAACAGGGTACCCTGAATTTGCCAGTATGTGATTGAATTCTTACCAGAAAATAGAGATGGACCGGAAGCATCCTATGCCTTTCCTCCAGCAAAGAGCTGGGGGAGGCATCTGTCCCTGGAAAAATAGCACAAGGGCGAAGTGTCCTTTGCCCTTGTGGTGTTTTTTCAGGAAAAGATTCCATGTGTGCTCATGAAAGTACTGGAGGTCTTTGAAGTCGTTCCTTCACCTGTGTTCCAGAAGGAACATAGCAGAGAGCTGATGGTAGAAATGTGAGTCTTTACTTCCCTGCACTTGCTGCAATGCTAAGTGGGGCAGGAGGGGGGAGAGAGAGATCTGTTACTACAAACTTCTGCTCATGCCTCCTTATCCAGCAAGGTGTTCAGCTGTTTTATCTCAGTTCTTGGCAAATATTTTACCTTTTTCCAGCAAACAGCTTTTTCAGCAGGAATGGCATCTAATAATATGGTACTTAAAAAGACTTGTTTTCCTCTTTTTTTGTCCAATATGATTGCAACTAATGATAGTATTTATTTAACCAGACTAGTTTGTAGTGTCAAACTGTTCTCAAAAAGCAGCTAACCCTGGTATGAGAAGGTAGGCGTTATCAAGCCTGTTATCAAGATGCCTGTCATTTTCCCAGAGCCTGAGTCAGCAAAAGGCTTAAAGCATTTTCCGAACTGTAAGCCGTTCCAAAGGAACAACTGAAATCAGCAGAAGGAGCTGCTTGCATGCTTGAAAGTTCGTGCTGCCAATAACTACCTTGGTGACCTGGATGGGCAAGTTGGGTGGCATCTGGGAACAGCCCATGAAGCATCCAGCAAGCTGCAATTTGATGAGTTACGAAACAAGGGCTGAGTGAAAATTGCTGTCGGTTTCACTGCCCCACTTGCAGGTAGTGTAATGGGGGAGCCCTTCCAGCAATTCAAGGGGTTGTTGTTTAGTCGTTTAGTCGTGTCCGACTCTTCGTGACCCCATGGACCAGAGCACGCCAGGCACTCCTGTCTTCCACTGCCTCCCGCAGTTTGGTCAAACTCATGCTGGTAGCTTCGAGAACACTGTCCAGCCATCTTGTCCTCTGTCATCCCCTTCTCCTTGTGCCCTCCATCTTTCCCAACATCAGGGTCTTTTCCAGGAGTCTTCTCTTCTCATGAGGTGGCCAAAGTATTGGAGCCTCAGCTTCACGATCTGTCCTTCCAGTGAGCACTCAGGGCTGATTTCCTTCAGAATGGAGAGGTTTGATCTTCTTGCAGTCCATGGGACTCTCAAGAGTCTCCTCCAGCACCATAATTCAAAAGCATCAATTCTTCTGCGATCAGCCTTCTTTATGGTCCAGCTCTCACTTCCATACATCACTACTGGGAAAACCATAGCTTTAACTATACGGACCTTTATTGGGATGGCAGATAAAACTTAGCCAGGAGGGAAGTTCAGGAGGCTGACAATTGCCATTGCTTCCAATGAATGACACAGCAGGATAATGAAGAGCGTGTCCACATAGCAACTTCCTGTGGACTGCTTGTGCATGCGTGTTTTGCATAGCATCCTCACAATATCATCCTGTCCTTTGGATGAAAGACGCAAGGGACTGGTTCATAAGCTTTGGCACCTTCAAGTGTTCAAAACACTTCACAGCACTGAAAGAACCCCAAAAGGACCTTCCTCGGGATGAGCATTTGCTTGCTCCGTTGGGGGGCTGTGTCTTGAGAAAAGCCGAGATCCCATTTTCAGGAGACAAGCCCACAATGGTTCTTGAACTGGCAGCCCAGGAGATAATCAGGCAACAGGTCAACTTGCCTGCCACTACCCACCTCAGTCCAAAAATGAGGGAACTTTCAGGAGTTTAGCCATGCTAGCAAAGATACCTCTTAATTCTGATGGACTAAAGTGGGTCAGGTGGATCCTCAGCACCTTCTTATGCTCCCAAGTCAGGTAGTTTACCAGTCTGAGGTGCAACTAGCAAGCTTATATGGAGTCAGAGCATTGGTCTAGCTAGTTCAATATTGCTTACACTGACTGGCAGCAGCTGTCCAGGGTTTCAGGATGGAGTCTCTCTAAGCCCAACCTGGGGCCTCCTGCATGCAAACAGATGCTCCAGCACTGAGCTACAACCCTTCTTCTGCTTCTCAGCTCACTGATGAGTGCTACTTGTCTGTTTTCTAACCCCAACGTTATGGAGAGCAGAGTCTGACACAGGGAAGCCACAGCCCAAGCAAACAGAGACAGACCCTCCTACCCAACCTCCCTCACAATGACCTCTGTAACTTGGCCCTCTGGGAAGAGAACCTTCCTTCGTTCTTGCTCTGCCAAACACAAAGATACATTTATCGTGCACTATGAATTATGCACAATAAAATATTTCCAACGGAAATACAGCAGATACAGTGGGCCAAGGCTTTTTGTGCAACATGCAAGAATAATATCCCGGAATTTATCCAGTCAGGCATTAATGTCATCACAAATAACAGTCATCTAAGCAGACCTTGCTGGGCCTGCCTTGCATCTCTCGCTTATCGTTCAGCAGGAAATGGAAGTATTAACAAACAATTGATTGTCACAGCCTAATTCTGTCTGAGTTCTAGGCCAAAAGTGGGGAGAGAAAAAGAAAAATATAGAAGGGTTTCTTGTACATTTGGCCACTGCAGAAGCTGACACAAATTGCAGGAGAGGGCAACTGTATTTCTGGAAAGGGGTTTAGTGGAACAACATCTGCTTTGCATGCAGAAGGTCGCTGGTTCAATATCTGGCATCTCCATGCAGGAAAGACTCCTAGTTTGAAATCCCAGAGAGCTGAAATTGATATAGACTATAGTGAGCTAGATGATCTGATTCAGTACAAGGCGGCTTCCTGTGCTCCTTTATCACCTGATTTATTTCCTTCTCTGTAGCACAGAAAACATAAAAGACAGAGAAACTGGACTGCGCCATTGAAAAGAGGACCTTTTTAAAAGAAGAGGAATCGAAACACATGTTTGGGGAAGAAATATTGTTTGGACAGGGTAACAAACCAAGGTTTTGCATCATGCCTAAACCATCTCTAGGAAGAGGGGAGAAATTTGATTCCATTTACATTTAAAGAAAATTTACCTAAGGTAATTATTTCCAAAACAAGAAGCAAAACAAACCACAAAATTCTTCAATTTTTACAGCGCAATTCCCCAGCCAAGTAATATGTACAAAAATGCATACAGTAGCATATGCATATAAAGTGTGCATTTAAATTAATAGAATATTGAAAACAATGTAGAAAAATGCATTATATTTGGAAAAAATAGCTTTGCAAAAATGTGTACATTAGGCAACAATGCCTGGAAAAATGTAGAATAAATTCACCCTAAAATGTTAATGAATTATCCTGAAGATTTTATACGTGTGTGTGTGTGTGTGTGTGTGTGTGTCAGAAACTGATGTGGAAATGTGAGAGAAACCAAAATTGACAGATCATCTCATCTCATAGACCTCTACAACTGTAAAAAACCTTCAGTGGGGATCTCCTACCTGAGCCACCACTGCTCTTTGCAAAGCTGGAGTACATGGGCTGGAGTTGCTTCCAGAACCTAGTCGACCATGTGAGGTGGCATCATGCCCAAGAACGGCTGCCCAGTTGAGATCAGTTTGGATACTATCACTCTTCTCACGCTTGCTTTCAGTCTGGAAACAAACCAACAGAGACGGACATATTCAACAAATTCAACAATGAGATGGGTGTCTGTTTTCCCCTGGTTTTTGTTGAGTTGCATTTGCTGTTAAATCAACAACGTTAAAATTCCAAGGGCTATCCGACAGCAATGGGTATGTAAATGAAATGGTGGCTTTGTTTGCCTTCACAGCGGAGACTCCCCTGCACCATGGGCATGTCGTGAATTGTTCTAATGATCGATGACCGTATGGGTTTTGACATCCTGTACCCATTTTATCAGATTATGGTTTTCGCCATGACCTATGGTTCAGACAAATCCATATATGATGTATCTGTACAGGCCCCTGCCATTTTTGGATTTTATTTTGCCCTGGTAGCTCAGTACTGTTGTTATGGCTTAAGGCCAAACCAATAAATCTACTTACTTCTGATATTGCAGCTAGGTCTTATGCGGTATGATGTACCCCTGTGTAGATACAAAGCCCTACTTTCTTCAGCTAGACTTCCCTGTGCATTTTCTTCTGGCTTCACCCCCTCAAAGTTTTAAATTCATTCTTCACTAGTTACCACAACTCCTCCTCCTATTTTATAATGATGCCAATTCAAAAGGGACTGCTAGATCAGTACTAGAAGTTATGTAGCAATCATGGGATTCCCAGTTCTGTATCTGCACCTACCGTGATTGGAGGTGGAGCTGTTTGGAGGGGAAGTGGAAGGCAGGACATTGTGCATAACCCTTCCTTTCTGGTGTTGCTGCTGACTGGTGTGTGTGTTTATGATGGGGAAATGGCTAAGGATGAAGGGGATGAGGTGGAGAAGCATCAGGCAGGGGAAAGTGATATATTCCTTCCACCCGCTGATTCTCCCCTGCAGTCATCTTGAAAGGCTTCTCCATGCTCATCTTAAAGGGTGAAATATGGGGTTGGGAATCCAGGAACTGGTGAATAACTTTTGCTTCTGCCCTTGGCTAGGCTAAGACAGGGGTAGAAAAGATTTTGCAGTCCAAGCACCTCACTCTCTTATGGGCAGCTTTCTGAAGGCTGCATGGCATTGATGGGTGAAGCAGGATAATGGGTGTGATTCCTGCTTCTGTACAGTAGGCTTCATTCCAGCCAGTCAAATGCCATCTGTTTCTACACTTGTACACACCTTGTACACAGCAAGAGGCTTTATTGCTGTTCAAGGACACATTTCAGCCACCCAAAAGCACTCAGGGTGGGTGTGTTCCCCTCACATTCCCTCCAACATTTCTCTGACGAAAATAGGGGTGTCTTTGCCATCACCATCCCTTTATTATATATACCCCACCCATCTCGCTGGGTTGCCCCAGCCACTCTGGCTGGCTTCCAGCATCTATAAAAACACTATACAGGGCTGCCTTCTGATGTATTTTAAAGGTTGTAGAATTCTTATCTCCTTGGCTCAAAGGCTGCAAAACTGCATATCCTCCAGCATTTCTCCAAAGAAAATAGGGACGCCCTAAGGACAAGTGGGACATTCCAAGATCAAATCAGAAACCAGAAATCAGAAAGGGACATGGGTGGCGCTGTGGGTTAAACCACAGAGCCTAGGACTTGCTGATCAGAAGGTCGGCGGTTCAAATCCCCGCGACGGGGTGAACTCCCATTGCTCGGTCCCTGCTCCTGCCAACCTAGCAGTTCGAAAGCATGTCAAAGTACAAGTAGATAAATAGGTACCACTCCGGCGGGAAGGTTTCCGTGAGCTGCTCTGGTTTGCCAGAAGCGGCTTAGTCATGCTGGCCACATGACCCAGAAGCTGTACACCAGCTCCCTCGGCCTATAGAGCAAGATGAGCGTGTAACCCCAGAATTGTCCACGACTGGACCTAATGGTCAGGGACATTCCAGGATCAAATCAGAAACCAGGATGAACTTTGTAAATCCAGGACTTTGTAAATCCAGGACTGTCCCTGGAAAATAGGGGCACTTGGAGGGTCTAGTCTCCAAGAAGAAGAAGTGGCTTGGAGGAGATGCAGATTTCTGAGCACAATTGGTGCTGACCCTTAGAGCCCTAAATGGCCTCGGTCCTATATACCTGAAGGAGCGTCTCCACCCCCATCGTTCAGCCTAGACACTGAGATCCAGTGCCGAGGGTCTTCTGGCGGTTCCCTCATTGCGAGAAGTGAGGTTACAGGGAACCAGGCAGAGGGCCTTCCCGGTAGTCGCACCCGCCCTGTGGAACGCCCTCCTATCAGATGTCAAGGAAATAATCAACTATCCTACTTTTAAAAGACATCTGAAGGCAGCCAGTTTTTAATGTTTAATGTTTTATCATGTTTTTAATATTCTGTTGGGAGCCACCCAGAGTGGCTGGGGAACTCAGCCAGATGGGTGGTGTATAATAATAATAATAATAATAATAATAATAATAATAATATGCCCAAGAGCTAGACAGAGAAGCCTGAAAGACAAGGCCTGAAGGCAGACTGTGGCCTTTAAGGTTTCTCTATGTGGCCATTGTGATTTTCTACACCCCTTCTTTCCCAAAACCCCAATGGCTCTGCTTTGCCCCCTGAATGTTTTCACTAGCTGGAATGTATCCAGAGACTCTGATAAAGCCCCTAGCTTGTATGGATGGAGGACAGAAAGTGATGTGTGAGTGTGCATAGAACCTAGCCTCCTGTGCAAAAGAAAAAAAATTGCTTTAGTTCATACACCCTCTTTTGCCTCTGACCCCCCATAATGTTGCCCAGACGGGAATGCATCCATGCATCTGGAGAAAGATGATATAAATAGTCACTGAATAACTTATCTCCCCCAAAAATGCAGGCCCTCATTTTATTTTATTTTTTGACATGCAGGCTGCCATGCTTTCTTCCAAGCAGATGGCGACAGCTTCCTTGTTAATATAACGCCAGGAGATTCACCTAAATGACAACCATCTTGATAAGAAGTAATTATTATTTCACTGGGGGGAAATGGTTTGAGTCAATGATTTTGTCCCTGTGAATCCTAACAACTCCCCTCCCTCCCCGAGCAAAATCGACATGGTGCCAAATGGGATTAAAGGAATTGTACAGGCAGAACCACAACGGCGGCGGCACAGCGTTGGAAACACACAAGGCACAATCAGCACTTGCAAGAGAAACTGCGTATTTATGTCAGGCCCAATTTGCTTCCTTTTAATGCCGCACACTTCCAACAGAGACTCACTGCCTACAACTGCTAATGTCAGAAATCCACAACAGTACATTTCGATTAAAATTTAACAGTAATGGCATGGACTAAATTTTACAATGCGTTTCATTCCAGTACAAAGAGGTCATTTATGGAATACATGTCAGCGACGCAGATGAATATTGGAGCTGGCATTTTGCGATGTGTGTTTCCCTCCCCTCAGGCTACAGATTTTTTTTATAAAAAAAAAAAAAAATAGAGGAGAAAGTTGAAGCAATGAAGCAGAGCTGCATTTCCTATCCCTTAAAGCAGGATTGGCTAACCTGTAGTCCTCAAGCTATGCCTGGATTTCCAACTCTTACTATCACTGACCATTGGCCTTGCAGACTGGGGGATTGTGGGAGCTGCAATCCAGCAATATCTAAAGGGCCAAAGGTTAGCCACTCCTGCCCTAAAGCTTAGAACAGGCATAGGCAAACTCCGACCCTCCAGATCTTTGGGACTACAATTCCCATCTCCGACCCTCCAGATGTTTGGGACTACAATTCCCATCCCATCAACCCTAGCTAACAGGACCAGTGGTCAAGGAAGATGGGAATTGTAGTCCCAAACATCTGGAGGGTCGGAGTTTGTCTATGCCTGGCTTACCCAACTAACCAACCAATCTCTAATAAGTCATTTATACTGACTCTTTGCTGAACTCATGATTTTGGGGAGCCCCCAAACTAGAGACCACCAGTGGACTTTAACTAGAGAGTAGATCAGAGCTTTCCAAACTTTTCATGTCGGTGACCCACTTTCTTGGCGTGCATCATTTCGTGACGAAGTAATTCAGTTTTACTAGTAAACTGGAGGTTAAACTAACCTCTTTCCAGCCCCGGGAGGAGCACAGGGGGTGTCTGCATGACACACCAAAGTCATTCAGGGTTTACTAGCAAACCGGAGGTGCACAAAATTCCTGAGCATCATCTACCCAGATG